TGTAATTATTTTATGAATTATATTATATGTGTGTGTGAATAATATATTATGAATTATATGTATAAAAAAATAGATTCTACATTATACAAGATACAGTTATATCGTCATGCTCGTCAAATATTATTTTTGCTACGATTGATTATACTCTTTGCAATCAAAATACAATCATAATAAAATATACATATAGATAATTTATAAATTATTGAAGAGATAATAGATTCAAGATTAAAAACAAATATACATAAAACAAATCTCTCTCCTCTAAGAATAAAATAAAATTAAGAAAAGATAAAATATATTGTGATATATAATAGGTATAATGAAAATGAAATAAAGTAAATTTTTAATGCCACATAGCAATGTATAATCCTCTTAGATAAAATCGTGGAAATAATTGCAAATTAATATGTTTTTACTCACCGACGCCCGCAACATGAATCTTTTTCATCCACGGATAAATAGTGCGTTCTCTGTTCTCCTCATCTTCCTCTTCTTCTTCCATCATACCCGGTGAAGCTTCCATCTGACCGTCTTCTATGTCATCTGGATCCGAGTTATCCTCCACATGATGCTGTTGTTGTTGTTGCTGCGGGGTCTGTTGTTGGCCACCCTGTATATGTTGAGATTGCTGAGACAATGACTGTTGCGTCTGAAGATCGGGCGAATTATCCCGATGCAACTGACCCGAGCCGGCCGGACTGCAGGCATTGTTCTCGTGTTGTTGTTGATGATGCTGGAGGGTATCCGGCTGTTGCACGTGATTCTGCATTATAGACGGCGACAGAGGCGTGGATCCGAGAATAGTAGTCGTAGGTACAGATGGTTGGTGTTGTGGTTGCTGCTGTTGCTGCTGCTGACTTTGTATCGACGACGGACACGTGAGCGGCGGCTGTTGAGCTTCCGGCGGCATCGCTAAAGCACCCACGGCGTGATGATGAGGATGTAGACTGGGATGATGTACCGCGTGTACTTGGTGATGAGGATGGTGAGGGCTGTAATATCCGCCGTACCCCGCGTATCCTCCATTCAATTGTACCGCTGAGGAAGCTCCGTAAGGAGTCGATGCCGCCTGATGATGATGCTGATGATAGCCGTACTGTAGTTGAGATTGCGGGTGACTCAAGTGATGACCGCTGCTACCGCCCGAGAAGAAGTCTGCGCCAGTCGAAGGTATATAATTACTCTGGCTATATTCCTCGGTGGGGGGAAACTTCGGATCAACCATGACGGAAGTGGTGGCTAAATGATGATTTCCAGTCTGCTGCTGATGCTGATGATGGTGATGATATCCACCGGCGGCGGACGGATTCATCAGAAAGGAACTCATGTTCATGGAGCACTTTCTCGCGGAAAACACACACACACACGCACGATAGTTCAGATGAACCTTAAACGACCGCACTTCGCGATTCTGCCTTCTTATCTGAATCTCCGCATCAGTTCGTCGATTCGATGCACCATTTCATATTAATATTCATCATTCTCACAAGCTGACACTGCACCGCACTGCGCTGTGGTCCATCGTACACACCTCGCCGCCTCTTGCGAAAAGGGGTGACGTTTTCTCGAAAGGAGGAAAAAGAGAGAAAGAAGGAGAGGGAGAAAAAGAGAAAAGAAATGGAAAGAGCGGGGCTACAACGAGCACAGGACTCCCGGTGGACAGCTGCTTATTCTCTCCTCTCCTTCCGCCACTTTCGCGATCCTCCACGACCTCGTTCGCTCCTTCCCGCCCACCGGAGCCCAATTACCATACCACGTGACCACAAAACCGACCAATCGGAGCTGTTCCTAGTCCGCGACCATGATGGATAACCACGGCACGCATGCAACACGTGAGTGGCGCCACGAGATCTACTGCGGCAGGTGTAGCAACTTCTTGCTTTGCTTCTCTATTTCATTGTCATCGAATTTCATACATTCACAGTTTATTAATTTCTAACGCATATTGTTAAACTGCATCTTCCTTTTCCTTGATAATACGCACTTGTTTCTCTCATAAACTTTCACTTTTCATCCACATCATTGATCCGCAATAAACATCAAGCTGATGTTTCTACGAACGATTCTGATAAATCAAACATCTCAGAACAAATCATATTTTCGAATAAATGAGTAAACGTCAATTTCTCTGCACTGCACTTCTATCACTGCTGTCTCGTGTAAAATGATCTTCTCGTAAGTATACGAAGATTGAAGCGGACGAAGCCTCTTGTCAGAGAGAAAGAGAGACTCGAAAGTGAGCTCGTCCTACCTCGGCAGAAACTCGTCTGGCAACTCTGGTCTGCTTCCAACTCCCTCCAGCTCCGTTCGCGCCGGCTGGCTTTGAGCCGATGCGGAGAGCTACGTCCCCTTTTCCCGTCATGCGTCTTCTCTATAGTCACCCCCACTCCGCGGCGGCATGAGACCAACCCCTGCCACGGAAACAGTGGATCTTGTGCCCTTATGGGGCATACTCGAGGGTACGTATAACCATGGAGTCACTCCTACGTATCCCCTTAACCCGCCTCCGTGCCTCGGAAATCCATCTTATGGCCGGAGTCAATGCTGAGAGAAACGGTGGCAATGAACGTTAATATTGTTGATATTGAATACTGCGGCGAAGGTAATCGCGCCACTAATTCAGAACTATTTGTCGTGACCAGCAGGTGTTACCCCCCATAACCGTCCATTACACCTCTATTTGCCAATATTATACGAAAATGGGGTGTTAATTGATCTACCATAATAGACATTTCTCTTTTCCGTGAGTTAGATGAGCAAATTTAATATCCGAAGTCGTGTTTAACGAAATATATTTATCATCGATCGTTGTTCTAAGAAACAAGTAAATATTTTCTATACGTCAAGTACACAAAATAGATACGCATGTGTTTATGATGTTATAAGATAATGGTAATAATAAATATAAAGTTCTCACGGAAAAAAGAATGTAGTTTATATTATTATCAAAAGTCATCTTCGCGAGAACCTTTGTGAGTAATAGGCTTTCGAGCTTGAAAATATTACGTAAGACGAGTTCGAATTGGCTAAATTAATAGTAATAGATCTGCTGTTTGATTACACTCTTGCTCATATTAATGCATTGGTGTCTCGGCGTACTCGGTCAAGTACGTCTACTCGCGATCAGCTGCGTGGCATAGAGAATATAAAACGCCGAGTCATTACACAAAGAGCATACTCACTGTTTTGCTTTGGTACGACAATACAGCACGGTAAATTTAACTACGTTGACTGTACGCCTGTATAAACGATCCAGGAAATAACAGTATCGGAATATTGTAGAACGGTATTGTAGAACAAAGATAAGCTTAAGAATCATGGGGATTAAATAATGCAAACGCGAAGAGTGTTTTTTATATATTATCAAAAGCCTTTCAATTTTTCAACTTGTTTGATATGCGTCAAATAAAAAGGGGGAAGGGGGGATAGAAATAATTTAGGATTGTATGGTTCTCAAGAAGATTCTGAGAACGCATCGCTCGTTTTTACTCCATATATATATATATATCTTCTTCTCTCGAGTTAGTTTTTCGTTTACTCGGATATACCGCGGCTTATTTCTATTTTTCTTATGGCCACTTCATGTCGCTCCAAGCAGAAGAGCGGAGCTTTGAGTGGAATCTGGAAGAGTCCAGAGGGGTTGAAGGGGTCGCGCTGAATGACGTAGAGGAGGCTAGAGGGGGTTGTCTCCTCGTTTTGCGACACAACCTCCTCGTCTTTATCACCGACGACGCTCGGAAACTTCTGTCCTCTTCTCTTTCCTCGTCCACCGCCATCTTACGCCATCTCTACTTTCGTCGTCTCGCTCTTTTCCTCCGATTCTGCCCCGAGTCTTCTGCTCTTGTCTTCCGGCGAAACACGATCAATCACTTTTCCCGGTCCGCCGGCATGACACCCCCTTTACACCCACGGCTATCCTCGAAGAGGGCCTGCTTCGTCAACGACGAGTCCTTTCGGCTACCGGACGAATGTGTGATCTTCCAAGTGACGATTATCGTGAGATCGCACACGTGGGTCTGTTATATCGCTTCATGAATTTTGTTGTCTCATGGAGTATCGTCGATGTTTCGACATTCAAAACGTGTTGTATTAACGAAACGTAATGATATATTAAATATTATTAATGTTAAAAAATTTTGAAATAGTAAATCAATTATTGTATATTATTTGACAATATATTTGTTAATGTTTACCAAGAAAACTCGTTTGCGCTTAAACATGATTTTGATCCGGAGCAAATGTCAAAATGACAATGCAGTCTTTAAGTAATTCGTCTTAAACTATACCATGCTATCTCTCTATAAAAACTCGCTTGGCAGAAATTCTTCGTGGATTCAAGATTTAAAGAGTTCAACGGACTTGCATTGTGATAATGATAAATGACGATACAGTTTACGATTTAATATCAATCTTGGCCGAGGCTGGTGCTTATTATTACCCATTAGTAAAGTTTTAATAACGCAATACGGTGCTCGGCCGGGGTGGAACCGTTGCGATTTATCATTTTCATCGCTTTATTAACGGCGTTTCAGTTATATTCAACTTGTTGATCGCTTATGAAAGAGGAGAGCATATCGTCTCTGATATTGAAGCTGCGCGAATTTGCGTTTCCGGGATTATTTTTAGCGAGGCCCGAGAGAGCTGATTAATCGTCTCAACTGAAGGTAGAAAACTGCAAAGTAGATATTTCGAAGAGAATCAGGTCACCTATATATCGGAAAATAAAAATTATTTTTAAATATCTGTGGTATAAAAAAGATAATTTTTTAAAAATTCTTATAAGAAATATTTTACGCTTGAAGAAAAAGGATAAATATAAATGAATATGCAATTGTCGAATAGTTAAATGTCGCAAGCAAAATCATAATTCGATTTCCAAAGAAATCACAGTAACCTCTGTTACAATCTTCGGGGAATCATCGATCGATGATATTTATTTCGAAATTCAAAGTATATTCCAAATATTTATGATTCAATATAATCTACTACAATAGAATCATGATCGATAGATCTTTCGGGGAGAATCGCGCGCGATACAATTTCACGCATAGCATTTCAGATTTTGAAATTTAGAAAATGCGAATGTTTTTCGCATTCGTTGTAGCTTAAGGTGTTGGCAGCGGATCTGTCCGAGGTGAGAAACATGAGTCTCCGGAGATTCGATTTCGCTGCTGAGTCACGATCTCGAGCTTGCCGACATGAAAAGGGGTCCATGTCCCCTTAGGGACATCCAGTATACATCTGATGCCTTAGATATCCCGAACGGTTTTCAAGACTGTTCCTTTATCCATGTGCGCTCAGCTAAACAACATAAAAGTATGCAGACTAGAGTATTTTTGCAATTTTGCAATTTTTTTCCGTGATGCATTAAAAATTATAAGCAAAAGTTTATTATATCATAAAGAACAATATTATCCGAAAAAAATAGACGTCTTGCACGGAATTTTGCTATTAAAATACAAACGTTATAATCTATTATCTCGAGTTTTTTGAAAGATCATTTATTTGACCGCACGAAAGAAAGAACAATTTATTAAAGGAGGAAACGTGTTTTCATCAAAAATGTAAAAAGCACCGCATGCAAGGCGATGATAACTCGGCGAACGGCAATGACGCAAAGTCACGTTGACGGCAATGAACATGACATCTTTCATCAAGCAACTGGACGAATGCCCCAAGTTCGATGTCTCAAGCCGGCGTGTGAGTGAAAGTGTCAGCTGTACGTCGTTTCTTGGCCAACAGTAGCCCCATTTACAGGATGAGAGGAAGATGAGGAATAACTAGAGGCGCGATAATTATCGGCTGGGCATTACGGTAAAGATGTTAACGCGACCTTCGATCCGTAACCTCGGACAATTACCACCTGACACCGCTGCTTGAAAGCAATTTGCGTATACATCGCACTTTTCCAGCTTCCTTGAAAAGATAGTGCGAGATGAGGAGGAAAAAAGTGCCTGCAGACCGTTTATGCGCGTGAAGAGGCACAAAAGTGGCTCATTATCTTTGCAATTCGAAGCGTCGTTAGCGCCAATCCCTCTTGACAATCTTGACACTCTTCCTCAAACAAATCCGGGGTCAGCCAAGGATGCATATATATAGAATATACTGCGGCTCTTGAACACACAGAAGCGCGTACGCGAGTAGAAATATGAAGAATTATAAAAAAGTGTGCCTAGTGCAATAACAAGTAATAATATTTACTGAGAAATAAGATGCAGATTCATCATCATTATGCTAATAGCAATTTAATTAATGCTACAATACGTATTTTATACCGTGACTCATTTTTATTATTAGATATACGTATAATAATTCTACGTTGCACATGCTGCGTCAACTGCTTCTAAAATTTTTATCATCTAAAATTCTGAAGCAAACGAGTTCTTGAAAGTGTCTTTGCTTGCAATGTCGCGAATGATGACGGGTGCGTATCCTGCGTATCCTGCCATTCGTTTTTATTTGCAGTAGCAGTAATAGCGGCACCGCTTGCTGAAGAGGCGGTTTACGCGAATATTTACACGTTCAAGGATGCTGTTGATTACTGCCTGAAGCGCGAGAAGGAAAGAAGGAGGTAACGAGGTTAAGGTCGTTTACCATCCATGACCTCGGCAATTACTACCATTCGACACCCTTCGTCTTCGTTTCAAAAGCAGTTTGCATACATTGGAAATGTTTCAACATTGTTCGAAAAGGATAGACGTGTCCGACCCTTTCAGTCGGCACATGATAACCCAGGAACTGTTTTGTTGTTAATTGTTTCGAAACGGTCTGGATAGGATTTTAAATATCTAAGACTATTTATTTTGTCGCGAAAAAAAGACATGATTTCGACCGAATTTTTGCGGATAAAAGTAAAAATATAAGAATAATAAATAATATTAAAAGATATAAAAATTAAATACTTATTCTAGAAAAAATTATATAATTATAACAATCAATAAACACATTTTTAAAAAATCTTAAAAATAGTATTAAACTCTTTATAATGCAATAATTCTGATTTTTATGTCTAATAAGAAAAGATCAAAACATATATGTATGAAATATCGTGTAACTTTTTTTACCCTTTCTCACATCAAGAGTTTCATGGCTAATATTCATTGTGACCTACAGACTGTGCTTTAAAGCGCACACCTTTCTGAAAACCAAGGAAATTTCCAGCACTCTGGAAAAGTGTTGTTGCAGAAGGTAAGTGCAAAGGGATGTCCCGAAGGCACGACGGTTCAGAGAACGGGAGACGAAGAAAGAGCACACGGCAGCGCGAGGCGCAAGATTAATGGATTTGTATTGTCGGCATTTTTTCAA